ATTAACCAATCTCTGGAGGGTATAAATAAACGCTCTACCGGTCTTGGGTAGTTCCCCTTCTCTGTTCAGAAGAGAGAGGTCCTCCACCTGATCCCAGCTTTTTGTCTCTTGTCTATTTTTCCCTCATTCGTGCCACTGTTCCTTCCCGGGGCACAGGAGGAACCCAAGGATCTGTACAGTAGATCATGACATTTTATTTATTTATTTATTTTTGGTGTTTGTTTTTTTTTTTTTTTTCTGATACCGGGAATCGAACTCACGACCTCGCGCTTGGCAGGCAGGTGCTGCACCGCTGAGCTAAATCCCCAGCCCTGATCATGACATTTTAAATTCATGAAGTTATTAGAAGAATTTTCTTCAAATTCACAAAGGAAAGAAGCATATGATTTCCAGCACTAAGCTCACAACATAAAACATTTCCCCTAGAAAAGAATCAACTGAATTGTTTGATTTTTTTTTTCCCCACTGGTAGAAATGTAGTGGAAAACATTAAAATAAGTGAAGGAAATACGCACAATAGTATATTAAAGAGGGTATGTGAAATTATAAAATTGAAACAACTGAAGTTTTAGAGATGCCTTACTTTCTTTCAAATAGTTATATTCCCGTATAAGATTACTGAATAGTAAATACAGAATATATTTTACTATCTTTTTAAAAATTGAACATTTTTACTATAGAGAGTGTTTGTGTGTGTTTGTTTGTTTTTGAGACAAGGTCTTGCTGTGTAGTCCAGGCGGGCCTTGAATTCACTGTGTAGCCCAGGCTGACTTCGAACTCATGGCACTCCTCCTGCCTCAGCCTCTTGCATGCTGGGATGACAGGTGTGCACCGTCCATGCCTGCTTTAGTGTATGTTTTGATACATATGATATTTATTTGTCAATTTTACCTCAGTGAAGGGGGGGAGGAAGCGACCAGCTGTACACTGAGTCGTTTCACTAACTGTGAAATGAGCACCACAGAGCAGCTAAGGAAGCTGTCCCCGTAAGGTGCGCTTTGCAGAACTTTCAGTTACCTGGGGCAGCCTTCCTAACTCTAGTCCCGTGCTGTACGTTAGACCTGCATGGGCTTTGCCGAACACCAGACTGTACCGAGGGGACTCTGCCAGTTTCCTGCATGGGCACAAATGACATTTTTTTTTTGAGACAGAGTCTGACTGTGTAGTTCAGGCTGGCCTCCAATTCCCTGTGATCCTCCTGCCTCAGCCTCCCAAGTGCTGGGATTACAGGTGTGCGCCACCACGCCCAGCTTTCATAAAGAATCTTATAAAATATGTGTCCTGTATTATGTTGTTCCCCTTGCAGAACCCCAACTACAACAGCATCCAAGCAGGTGGGCGGGATGCACACCGCCACAGGTGTGGACGGAGAATGCAGCTCCGTCACAGCAGCCGGGTGGCAGGTGCTGGGTGTTGGCCCTTGTCTCCGCCGTGCCTCGGCTCACGGCCCAGGGACAGTTCCGAACCCAAGACGGCGAGGGTCTTCCTGAGGTGCTTCTGAGGCCACTGAACTTCCTGCCTTCGGTCATTTCCGTCTCTCTCCCACCCCAGCTCCCTGTCTCTGTGTCTGAGACTCCCACACCAGCCCTACCCGTGCACCCCAGCTCCTCCGCTGTCACAATGCATGTGGGACATGGCTCTGCTTGGCCCCCAGCCCCGAGTGTTGGGATCACAGGTGTGCCCCAGCTGCAAATGTGCCATTTTGAAAGAGAAAGGACAGAAAATTATTCTTGGAGCTGGGCATGGTGGCATATGGTTGCTATCCCAGCACTCAGGAGGCTGAGGCAGGAGGATCACTGTGAGGTTGAGGCCAGCCCTGGGCTACATAGTGAGTTCAAGGCCAGCCTGAACGACATAGTGAGACCCTGTCTCATAAAAAGGAAAGAGAGAGAGAGGAAGGAAGGAAGTAAAGAAGGAAGGAAGGAAGAGAAAGAAAGAAAGAAAGAAAGAAAGAAAGAAAGAAAGAAAGAAAGAAAGAAAGAAAGAAAAGAGAGAAGGTGATTGTCAGACAGGTGCCTTCAGTCCCCGCAGCACCGCAGCAATCTGCCCATGCGGATTTCTCCGGACTCCGCTTCCTGCAGGCTCAGAGCACCGTGTGTCCGTACGCAGTCCGGCCCTGGCTGTGTCTCGGTCACCCCTGGATTCCAGGCCCCCCCGGGCAGTTCACTTGATTTCCCTGTACTTGGCTGTGAATTTTCAAAATGGAGACAGTGAGCTGAGCTGAGAAGGACGTTTGGGGAGCAGCTGGCTCTCACAGGGGACGGAGGAGCTGTTTACGTGGGATGCCGCATGTGCGCGCAGGCGCGTGGAGCCTCTCCTGCTGCCTCGCCCGGGATGGGGAAGGGAGGGCCCCGCGGCCGGGATGCTCCTGGATCCAGACTGTCTCAGCCTCCTGGCCACCTGCTGGGGGTGCTCGCAGCCAGGAGGGAAGGTCCTCGTCCCGGGCACAACACCCGGCTCGGCTCAGAGGAGCAGAGCTTGGCTTTGGCTGGCAGTCCAGGCGCTCAGAGGGAGCCGCTCAGGCAGGGGGACAGGAAGCAGAGAGAAGCGCGTTTAGCTATAAACTCATCAGCGAGGGCTGCACCCCGGGATCCAGTCACCCCCAAAGCTGCACCTACGTGAGTGGAGATGAGGTCCCCTCAGTAGGGAAACCCCCTCTCCCGTTTCCTGGGTTCAGGAGGGGGAGAACGTGCCCACAGACGGTGGACGGACGGTGCTGAGGTGCGTCACACACCACACACACGCACAAACACGCACACACGCGCAGTAGCCCTGGGCCACCGTCCCCCACCCCGGCCTCCTGTGCGTCCTTCTGTCCCCTCGCCCTCAGATCTTCAGACCCCTTCTTTCTGTGCTTTTCTCTCTCAGAGAGAGCCATTCTGAACTTCCCATGCAGGAGCCCCAGCAAGGGACAAGGATGGATGAAGAAGTCGGGGGAAAGGGAGCCCTGCTGTGGACTGTGGCTCTCTCTCCCTCTCTCCCCTTCTCTCTCTTTCTGCCCTGCAGAGAGGCACAAGCCGGAAGGGACCCCTCCTGTCACTGGTCACTGCCGGGCAGGTCTCCCGGCCCGCGGGTTCAGCCCGAATTCCGCTGTGATCCGCGCGTCCCACGCACACAGCAACACGGGCCCAGGGAACACACACATGCTCTGAAGCCCACGCTTCCCGGCTGTGTGCCGTCTGTCACCCTTGGGGTCTTAGGCAGATCAGAAAATCCCAGTTTCCAAGCCTCCTGTCCTCCTGTCACCAGCGGAAACCCAGTCCCCTCCGCAGCACCAAGTCAGCCGCGTCGAAGGCAGATGGGGTTTCTCAGGGCCCCTGGGAAGTTCTGGGTGTCAGATGGTCGGTGCCGACGAGCAGAAGGCTGGCCCGGTGTGCGCCTCCCTCTTCTCTCCCACGGAGAGCTGTGGATCTCAGCAGCGTTTTCAGGGCGCAGAACGACACGGGGCTCTCCATCCAGGCTGGCTCTGGCGGACCCCGGCTTTGCAGAGCGCGCTGGGCTTGCGTGGTCGAACTCCGCGCCCTGTGAGCAAGGCCTCTGTCCTCCCTCCCGGACTCGCTCCTCGGATCTAGTCTATTTCAGACGTTTCATTCATGGCGGCCGTTGACAAATCGTAGTAACCATAGACGGTGGCACGGCACTGCCCGAGCAGTAGTCTCAGGACGGCGGCTCCCGGCCTCAGCGCCAGGCACTCACTGGCTCCAAGGTTTAGGAGCCCCAGTAATGCCCGGTGGGCAGAGTCATTTCATTACTGCAGAGCCCTCGGCCTCCTCAGAACAGCGCTGCAGAGCAGGCGGATCGGCCCAGTCCTCCGACCAGGGCCTGCTCCTCACCTGCGGGGCCTCGGGCAGCGGGCGGCAGCCTGGACAGCTGTGGTGCACTGGAACTGCATCTAGTGGCTGAGGAAGTGGATCTGAAGCTCAGCCTAATGTAAAGAACGTAAGTTTGAGGAGCCGTGTGCAGGACGGGTAGCTCCAAGCACAGGTGTGTGTCAGGCTCCTCCCCAGCAGGAAGACGCCCAGGGAGAGGGCTGTGCAGACCGAAGCCTGGGGCGTCTGCCCCGCCCAGGTCTTGTGACCCCGCCGCGCTGGGACCGTGGCAGGACACGACCTATGCGACCTATGTATGCGCTGGGGCACTCGGCGTCCACCTTGGCTGCAGGGTGGACCCCAGTGAGCCTGACCCCTGCTCCCTCGTAACCTGGATCAATAGATTAACTTGGTCACCTCAAGGAAATCTGATTCCCTGGTGGATTATCCAGGCCCAAGAGCAGCCCGCCCCCCGCCCACCCCGGATTTCTCTCTAGAACAATTCAGGGCAACAACCAGCCTTGTGGTCCACTCTCGGCAAGTGATGAATGAGCTCTCCTGGAAAAGCCTCCAGAGAAAGGAGATGCTCCCGGCTCACCTGGATGCCGTCCCAGCCAGTGAGCTATGCACCAAAGAAGTGGAAAGCAGAGGAGCCACAATGCGGATACTAAGCCAGGCGCGGTGACGCACACCTGCCATCCCAGCACTTGGGAGGCTGAGGCAGGAGGGTCAGTGTGAGCTTGAGGCCAGCCTGGGCTACAAAGCAAGACCCTGACTCAGAAACACACACATAGATGTCAGCGATAATGATACAAAAGTAGAAAACGGGCATGTCACAGATGTAAGTGCTTGATCATAATTGAGTGGTCTTTTAAATTTATTTTATTTTATTTTTTTTTTTTGGTTTTTCTCCGGTACCGGGAACTCACGACCTTGCGCTTGCCAGGCAGGCGCTTTTGCCGCTGAGCTAAATCCCCAGCCCCCTAAATTTATTTTCTTGCTTCATTTCTTTTTCTTTTTTTTCTTTGTCCTTTTTGAGACAGGGTCTCACTGTACAGTTCAGGATGGGCTTGAACTCACTTTGTAGCTCAGGCTGGCCTCGAACTCACGCTGATCCTCCTGCCTCAGCCTCCCAAGTGCTGGGATTACACACATGTGCCACCACACCTGGCTTTCCTTTCCTTTCCTTTCCTTTCTTCTTTTTTTAACTCAAAAAATTTGTTTTGAGCAGGGTCCCGCTGTGCTGCCTAGGCTGATCTCCAACCTCTGGGCTCAGGGGTCCTCCTGCCTCAGCCACCAGCAAGTGTGTGTCTTTCTAAATAAAATGAGAACATTCAGTCCTGAGGGCAGAACATCGTTTACAGCACTCAGCAGAGCTGTGAACTGTCTTGTGTCTGAAGGGCGTGGTGCGGGCCGGGGAGGTTGGGGGGGCAGGCAGTGCATCCCCAGACTCTGCCGCTCAGGAAATGAACTGCAGCAGCTGTGGCCTGCGGCAGGACAGGGTCTTGGGCTGCGTTGTTCCCCGACGCGCCCGGATCCTCGGATGCTCTCAGTGGGAATTCCATACGTCACTGTCGCACGACTGAAAAATAAATAAAATTCTCTCTGTTTTGCTTCCCTACCTGTTGCCCATTGCTGGATAAATCCAGCGTGGTAGTGCACACCTGTGATCCCGGCACTTCGGGAGGCTGAGGCAGGAGGATCCCCAGCTGGATTCCCTCCCGCACAAGTCAGTGACTTAGGGAAGCCCTGTCTCAGTCAATCAGCAGAATCACCCATGCGGGGACAGGTTGCGGCTGCTGCAGACCAAGAGGGTTTACGAGAAAGTAACCATGTGAGGTGACAGACACATTAATCTGCTTCATTGCAGTAACCACTTCACTGTCTATGTGTATCCCAGGGCCTGCAGTAACCCTCTAAAATGTATCTTGAAACAAAGTAAAAAGTCAAAGGATACTCTGCAATCAGATTTGTAAGTGTTGCCTAGTACCTATAATTAAAAAAAAAAATCCACTTATTTGAATATATCTTATGTTTGTTTTTGTTTTTTGAGACAATATGTTGCCCAGGCCTGATTCGAACTCATGGTGATCCTCCTGCCTCAGCCTCCCTAGTGCTGGGCGTACAGGCCTGCACTACTACATTGGACTACTCTATTCTTTTTACTTCTACCACTCTTGATCTTTCTCTCTCTCTCTTTCTCCTTGCACTGGGGATTGAGCCCAGGGCTTTCACACTGAGCTATATCCTCAGCGCTTGTTGTATTTTATTTGGAGACAGGGTCCCATTAATTCCCTAAATTGCCCTGGCAGGCCTTGAACTCTGGATCCTCCTGCCTCAGCTCCCGGAGTGCTGGGGTGACAGGTGTGCACCAGGTGTGCACCAGGCCAGTGAGCTGTCTTCTGTCTTTCATAGAGAATAATTCACTTATTGTGAATTATTCCCATGCACTTTCCAATGCTTTCATTAAAACTGGCCCCTGTTGGCGGCCAGTATCCACACACACACAGAAGGACCCACACACGCTCTTTGGCATTTGCTCATACTTACTACATGTGGAATTAAGTTTCCCCTACGACGCGGATCAAATGTTGCGTGTAGGTGGGGATTCCCACTTCTTCTCGGCCTACAGCTCCCTCCATGATTAGCTTTGTTTGGTCTTTGGCTGGAAACAAGAAAAGGAAAAGTCCAACTTGTAAACACTTCCGCAGAAACAATGGGGAAGGAAGGAAGGATCCAAGTTCTGTAGATAAACTACGGCAAAGAGCGGAGGGAGGTCCGGACACCGGATACCGTCCCCTCTGAGGGACAGCTCAGAGCGGCCCCTCTGGAGCGCTGCTGCCCCGGGGAATTTCCGAGCACGCGCCGCCGTATTTGGCCCAGCCCTTGCTGTGTCTGTGACAGACAGTGACCCTTCTGGGCTTACTCTTCTTCGATCTAGCTAGAAAAAATACATATTATTTTGTCCCTTTAGAAGCTGCAAGAAAACCGACTCACGAAAGTTTTAAGTGCAGGAGAAAAACAAACCAAACCTTCGTCCTTCCTTTTACTTAATAACCTGTAGCTTAGGGCCGCCAACGGGCCGGGAGGCAAAGCTTCAGCCACTGGGCTCCTGCAGGGAACCTGAGAAGAGGACAGGTCGGGGTCAGCATGGCTCGAGTCCTCCCCACGGGGTGACAGGTGGGTGGAGGCCGAGGGAGCCCCAGAGGGAAGAGGCGGGGATCCGCCGTGCTCACCTGGATCTGCCCGCGCTGGTGGTGAGGAGCCGGGTTCTGAGAGCCAAAGGGTTTGCTTTTCCAGCATCCTGCGGGGACAGCAGACTCAAGGCTGACACCACTGCCGACTTTGGGACCGCGGGACAGGGGTTTTTCTGAAAAGAACCTGAGAAGTCATGTTCATTTTTTTAAAATTTTGAGACAGGGTCTCACTATGCAGTGTAGGCTGGCCTTGAGCTCACTGTGTAGCCCAGGCTGGCCTCAGACACTTGCAGAAATCCTCCTGCCTCAGCCTCCTGAGTGCTGAGATGACAGGGATGTGTTACCATGCCCGTCTGTGAGGAGGCTGAGGCAGGAGGATCACCACGAGTTTGAGGCCAGCCTAGGCTACATATCGAAACCCTGTCTCAGACAAACAAACATCCCCTGTGAGGAAGGCTGACTCGGTCTCAGACTTCTGGCTGGCCCCGGCTTTGTGCTGTGAAGTCTCTCCCCAGCCTGGGGAACAGCTTTAGCATCTGGGCCTGGATAGCCTCCCATCATCAGGGTGGGCACCAGGGCAGCTTGTGTCGCTTTATTTTTTTGAGTCAGATGCCAGAAAATAAACCAGCGTCAGCTCAGTCATTGAAAGGCGCTGGGCAGGTTGCCTGCAGCTGCGGCCGAGAGCGGTCAGCTCTTTATTTCACACCTGGGCTTCTCCTCCCGGCTGCCAAGGCCTTGGACGGGTCACCTCAGGACACGCGGCTCCCGCTCCCCGCTCCCGCCTGCAGGTGGCGCTGCTGCGCCGGCGCCGGGAGCTCTGTGTCCCTCCAGCCCCGGGCGCGGAGCCGGCTCTGCCTGGGGTTCACGCCGGGCCGGACTGCCCGCCCTGGGCTCTGCTCTCCGCCCGCGGAGGAACTGTCCTCGCACCGCCATCCCCCGGGGGGAAACCGCCACCCTCCACCGCCGCCCACCCCCCACAGACGGCAAAATTAAACACACTCCTAATCTCGCTGGGAGCCGAGGCTTACGCCTGTAATCCCAGCACTCTGGGAGGCTGAGGCGGGAGAGTCGCAAAGTAGAGCCCAGCCGGGGCACCTTAGCAACTTAGTGAGACTCTGCTTCAAAATTTTGAAAATTAAAATAAATAAATAAGGGCTGGAGATGTAGCTCAGCATGAAGGCCTTGGGACCGGGGTTCAATCCCCAGCGCAATAAAAAAGAATTAAAATTTTAAAAATAAATAAATAAGAGTGCTTGGCGAGCTGAGGGCTTTGCCCTGAACGACCCTGGCCGGGCTTCAGACTCAGGCGCCTTCTAACCTCTTCCCACTCTGCTTTCTCGGGTCCCGCTTGCCCTTGAGGAAGGCCACCGAAGCCAGGATCCCTGCCCCTGAGGCAGGTCGCAGTATGCGCGGCTCTTCCCCAAAACCTGATGCGACTCCCACTCCCGCCCCCGCCTTCCTGCCGGAAGTAGTTCCGGCCCGCAGTGGTATCAGGCTGGTCGCGGGCCTTCCTTCCAGGACGGCTCTGTGGGCGCCCCTGAGCCCGAGGGAACGCGTGCACACGGCCGCCCCGTTTCCCACTCCGCTGCCACCTTCTGCCCAGCCGTGTTTCCATGCCCGGGGCCACCCGGCCGCACCTCTCAGCAGAAACGGCCACTTTCCACGGTCTCGAGGTCCGAGATTCTTCAGGCTCCATATTATGGAAAACTTTGATGACACAAACCTGTTTTTTTGTTGGTTTCTTTTCTAAGACAAAGTCTTGTTAGGTAGCCCAGGCTGACCTCAAACTCTTGGTGATCCTCCTGCCTCAGCCTCCCAAGTGCTGGCATCACGGGCATGTGCCACCGGGCCTGGTTTAATGGAACAAACCTGTTGCGCTTTTGTCTTATTTCCTTGACTTTTGTAACAGCAGTGTCGGCTGTGACCCTGGTGATGGGGGGGGGACAGCATCTCCCACCCCTACCTGCACCCAGCAAAACCAAACCTTTTAGCAAGTGAGGTGGCCATCAGACGGCCTTGAATGGGCGCCCTGGATGCGTCGCTCCAGGCTCTGGGGCTTTCCCTCCGGGGTGCCCAGTCCTCACTCTCCGCCCTCCAAGTCTGCAGCCCCCAGAGCAGTCACAGGGCACAGCCTGGGTGCCGGCTCCCTCTGACCCGTCACAGCCCTTCTCCTAATGATTTCACCTCTCCAGTTACTTCTTGGTGTTTACCAGGCACCTAAGACATGTGAGCCAGAGAAAGTCCACCACTGATTAAAAAAAAATTGTCCCCAGCTGGGCATGGTGGTGGACTCAAGTAATCGCAGCACTCTAGGAGGCTGAGGCAGGAAGATCGCAAGTCAGAGCCCAGCCTGGGCAATTTAGCAAGGCCCTGTCTCAAAGAAAGAAAAAATGATAGCCCCACTTCCATGGTGCCTGCATTCTTTGGGGAGGAATCCACAGTGTTTACAGACTGTGAGGAGCTCAGGCCCGGTGGAAGCAGGGTGATCCGGCTGTCACCACAGGCCCTCGGAGGACAAGGCTGAGAACTTTCTCAGCGGGAGGTCAGGAAGGCTCGGCCGGCATCGATTTAAACTGCAAATCAGACTGCAGCGCCAGCGGGAGCAGTGAGAGGACAACCTCGGGGCGTGCGGCCCACAGGGGAAGGCCCTGGGGCAGGAGGGAGCTCGGGCGCAGGTCTCAGAGTGACGCAAGGCCCACGTGTCTGCTGCGGAGCCCGCAGCTCCGAGGGGCTGAGGCCGCAGCTCAGGGCTCCCGGCTTCATCCTGCCCAGGCGATGAGCGGCCGTGAAGGATTCTGGGAGCAGAGGCCATGAGGTTCTAGGCTCCGTCTTCCCCGAGGGCCCAGCGGCTTCACCAGCTGCTGGAGGAGGTGGGGGCGGGCGTGGTGGGTCCCGGCCCCCGCCTTCCTCCATGGGGTTGCAGCCGAGCCCTGGTGGCTGTGGCCCTCCGTCCCTCCCCACCAGGACCGGGAGGTCTCAGAACAGCAGAAAGAGGGAGCACAGAGGGGTGCAGAGGGAAACTCCCAGGTAAACAAGCAATGGACAGACGGACAGATGGATGGACGGACGGATGATTGATCGGATGGATGGACGGATGATTGATCGGATGGTGGACGGATGGATGATTGATGGATGGATGGGATAAGGATGTTGTGTTGGTTACTTTTCTCTCGTTGCTGAGACAAAATACCCAACGCCCAAAATTAAGGAAGGAAAGGTTTATTTAGCTCACAGTTTGTGGAGGTTTCAGTCCATGCTGGGCTGGCTCCGAGGCAGAGTGGCACATGGCAGAGGGCTACAGTTCATGGGGGCAGAACACAGCAGAAACAGCCAGAGCAAAAGGGAGCAATGGCGGCAAGCAGCCTCTTTCCCTGCCTTACATTGTAAGCAGGCTACCCCCACCCAGGGAACACGTAGCTCTCACATAATCTCCATGCCCTCCCCTTCCACAGGCTCAGGATGTATACAAAGTAAGCGCCCTGCCTGGCTTCCTGCTGAGTCACTTAGCCAAACCCCTAGACTCCCCAAGTTGACACAATGTATCAACCATAACAGATGCCCCATGCAGGTCGTGGCTCCCCACTTTCAAAGGCATTCATTGTTTATGTATGTTTGAAATCAACTGCGCATCCATCCTGTATTCAATCTGCAAACACCATAAAAGCAGGGGTCACATGAGGGCTACAACCGAACAAGCCAAAGTCCCCAAATAACCCCAACGCTCTACAAAGGCCCCCTCCTCTCCTGCTTCTCCCCTACTCACCTCTGCCACCGCCCACTGCCCGGCCTCCTGAGTGAGGCCTCAAGCAACATGAGCTAAGTGGGGCAGCGAATGCACACCTATAATCTCAGCACTCAAGGAAGCTGAGGCAGGGGGATCCCCAGCTTGAGCCTAGCCTGGGCAGTTTAGTGAAACCCTATCTCAAAATAAAAAATAAAAAAAGCCCAGTGTGCGGGGCTGGGGATTTAGCTCAGCAGCAAAAGCGCCTGCCTGGCAAGCGCAAGGTCGTGAGTTCAGTACCCAGTACCGGAGAAAAACCAAAAAAAAAAAATAAAAAAAAAAAAAAAAAAAAAAAAAAAAAAAAAAAGCCCAGTGTGAAGGCCTACTGCTACACACACAAATATATACTTATATATAAACATATACACATATATAAACATATATAGTGAAGAAATGCAAGTTTTTGGATTTTTTCCTTGAGGCAGAGTCTCACTAGAGTCTCCAGGCAGACCTCAAACTTACAGTGTTCCCCCTGCCTCAGCCTCCCCAGTGCTGGGGTTACAGGCGTGCGCCACTATGCCTGGCAATGTCTTTTAATTTTTAAATTGTTTGTCCATTCATTTATTTACATAGTACTGGGGATTGAACCCAGGGCCTACCCACCCAGCCTTTCTGTATTTTCCGTCTTGAAGGGTCTCGCTAAGCCAGCAAGCCGCCCAGGCTGGACCTCAGCACTGAAGCCACACGTTGTGGTGCATATAGTCACGGGCACAGGGAGACGAGCAGCTCAGGAACACACCGTGTCCAGGTCACTCCTGGGCCCTGGCTGGACACCTACTCTCTCTGGCGACCTTGGGACACTCCGTGATTTGTAGCCGGAGGGACACATGCTTTGCCTCATAGCAGGTGACTCGCTTTTTCTTCTCCACTTCCGGGAGTCCAGGCACCCTCTCTCCCTCCCTCCCTGCCTGCAACTGAAGCCAGGCTGGCTGGCTTTGTGGTGTGGGGACCCTGCTTGGAGCTGGGGCGTCTCCCACGTGCTGGAGGCCTGATCACCAGCTGTGGTCCCCGGGGCAGGCAGCGGAGCCTTTAAGAGGCGGGGCTGACGGGAGGAAGTGAGGTCATGGGGGCGGGGCCTTGACGGGTATATAAGGACCCTGACCGACTTCCCTCTTCGCTTCCCGGCTGCAGAGTGGGCAGTGCGTTGCGGAAGGCCCTACACAATGGGACCAGCGGACCTGGGGCAGAAAGGCTGAGCTAAGATCAACCTTTCCTGCACATCTGGCTGATTACCTTGGATTTTTTTTTTTTTTTAAATTTCTTTTTTGTCTTTTGGTTTTTTTCCGGTGCCGGGAATCGAACTCATGACCTTGCGCTTGCCAGACAGGCGCTGTGCCGCTGAGCTAAATCCCCAGCCCCCATCCTTGGATGTTTAGTCACAGCCATGGGAAGCTGGCTCAGGCAGGCGGCTGCGGTCAGGCAGGGCGGGGGAGCTCGCCAGCCCTTTCCACCGGAGGAGCAGAGCCGCTCCCCGCCTCCCTCCCACCTCCCTCCCGGGGTCCCCAAGCAGGGAGGGCACCCAGTCAGAGAGGAGAAAGCTGCCGCGGATCTCTTTGCCTAGCACTTATCTCAGTTTATAATTGCACGGTCACTAGCGGGGCGATGTGATGAACATCGGCTCCCCTCCGCAGCCTGTCAGCTCGCCAGCTCCCTCTCCCGCGCTTGCTGTACGCCAGGCCCAGAGGCCCCCGCCGAGTCATAACGACTGTGCAGACCCTTGTGGGCGACCCTCGCGCGCGCAGCTTTGCGGGGATCATCACCGCGTTTGTGCAAGTTGATGCTGCGCTAGGTGCCGGGGCGGGGAGAAGCCCCATCCCTCCAGCACACCACGGGTGAGGCGGTGACCGCGTCCCCAGCCCCGAGACCCGTCCAGGACCGTCCGCCGCCCCTCCAGGTGGCAGGGCACCTCTTGTGAGGACGCTGCCGCCCCTGCTGTAGTATTCCTGCCAGGGGAGCACAGTGCACGGAACGCAGCCACTTGCGGAATGACGCAGAGGGCGCCAGGCTCAGCACGGTGCGCGACTTCTGACTTTGTGGCGGTGCAGAAGCGAGGTGCGTCGGGGGAAACCTGCTCCGCACCTTAAACGTGGCTCCGAGGCGCCGGCTGCCTGTGGTGCAACGCTGTCCGGTGATGCTGGGCTCCTGTCTGCCCTGGGTCCCCGGCCGTGAGGGCGACGGCCCGGGACTGTGCAGTGTGTCACGCTACATGTAGGGCTGTGACGCTTGTGACGTTTGCCAGGTCAGCTGTGTTAAGTGCACTGTTGGGTTAGTGCAGTTTCACCCTGTAATGGGCCTATCTGAAAGTATCCCCATCAGGGACCCAGGAGAACCTGCAGTTACATTTCTAATTAAATATAGACACGTTGTTGGTCAAAGGGGACAGGTCCTCAGCCCAGCTGTGGTGACACACGCCTGTATGCCAGCACGTGGTGAGGCTGAGGCAGGAGGATCCCAGGGAACTGGGCCTGGGCCACTTAATGACTTAGCGATAGACAGCATGATGGCTTTGTTGCTGGGGAGGCTGAGCTTTGAGGTAAGGTGGCTTCACTTCGCTGCTCAGAGAAAAGAACTCCGCCTCTCTGGCCTGCTGTTCCTGGTGCTCCAAGGAGCCTGCTCACTGCAGCAGAGCAGCGCGTGCAGGCAGCTGAGAGGACGCTGGCGCAGCGCTCACACAGGGCCGGCCCAGGTCCTCTTCCTTAGGGACGGGGCCACCAGCTCCCCGCACTCCCTCGCTCCCCCCCCCCGGCTTTTAACACCCACCTGCCTCAGCCGCCCACTGAAACCAGACTTTTCACTCACCAACCCCGAGCCCACCCTGCCTCTGCCCGATGCCCACTCCAGAGCCACCTCCGGGTTTTCAGGGCTCTGTTGCAGCAGCGCCCCCTGCCGGGCCAGCCTGGGACGTCTGGTCACCGCTCTGCTCTGCGGCTGGGGTGGATCTGGGGGTTGCTCTGCCTTCTGGCCGTATCCGCTCAGTCTGTGTCCCCATCACCGCTTCCCGAGGCCACGTCCTCTTGGACCAGGGCCGCCGTCTCTGACCCGGGTCTCACAGCTCTCCCGTTGTGGAGACCCCGTCCTCAAACACAGGCCCTCCTGGCCCCGCGGGCCAGGCCCCGGCACGGGAGGTTGAGGGGCGCCGTTCAACCCAGGACGACTTCTGCGCGCTGAGCCGTCCTGTCCCACGCCCGCCGCAGCCAGCCATGCTCTGTGCCATGAGCCCGGCTGGCAGCATCAGACCCAACAGCGGTGCGGCTCGGGTTCCAAACCTTTAATCCCCAACGCTGTCACAGTCAGGTCGGACCCCTCTGCCCGGCCCCCTGTCCACCCCACGTTGTAGACTGTCCCAGGAGTCTCCCCAGAGCAAATCAATCCGGACTCGGGCAGTGAAGGGCCCAGTCCCCCGAGACCCCACCCGCACCCTGGGCTCTGTCGGGTCCCTGCCAGCCTCCCAGGGAACCTGCATGGGCAGAAAGCCCCTCCCCTGACGCCCCAAATTCAGCCATTAAGGAGAACACGCAGAAGGCGTGAAGGACAGGCGGCCGTGAGTGCCTCGTGGCATCTGCCACGCGGAGAGAACTCGGTTTCCGGGATCCCGTTGATGGCCTCGGGCAGACGCTGTGCCACGTGGCCCTAGGCGGCCGTGTGCGTCCGCTTGGGGCAGAGGGACTCCCAGGGCCGGGAGGGCAGGCTGAGCAGCAGGAAGCAGCCGCCCGCCAGCAGCAGGATGAGGCCGGCAGCCAGGCCGCAGCCCAGGGACCAGGAGAACTCGAAGGCCAGGCGCGGGCCCCGGGCCGGCTCGGGGTCCAGGTCCCCGTCCTTGTCCCCGAGCAGGGCCCACACGGAATGCCGGAACACCTCGACACCCAGCAGGAGCATCAGGCCTGGGAGGAGAGAGGACAGGGTCTCAGGTCCGTCCCCAACACCAGGGGAGCCTGTGCCCTCCCGCCCAAGCACCCACGGTCCCTGAGGGTCGACAGCATCTGCCACAAAACAGCAGAAAACTGCTCCCAGTCCAGGCGCGAGGGCCACGGTCACGGCCTCTCTCTGTGTCCCCCCAAAGCCCCCTGCACTCCGTTCAGGGCAAGGTGCGGTGAGGGTGACCAGGAGGCCACTCTGCAGCAGGCTTGGGGCTCCCAGGCAAGTGGGGCCAGCAGGTCCTGGGTGTGCCCTGAAGGGGTCTGTTTCCCCCACTTCCAGCCTCCAGGGCTGGAGCTGCTCCGGCCCCACCTTCCTGCCTTGGCACCAGGCTAGGACTGCACCCCTGAGCCATGGTAAATCTCCTCTTTAAACTGTGGATTCCGGAGCCGGGCATGGTGGCACACGCCTGTAATCCCAGCACTGGGGAGGCTGAGGCAGGAGGATTGTTGCGAGTTCGAGGCCAGTCTGGGCTAAAAAGTGAGCTCAAGGCCAGCCTGAACTGCACAGTGAGACCTTGTCTCAAAAATACAGAAATAAATAGGAAATAAACTGTGGACTTGGGTCTCCTGTCCCAGCGAGTAGGAGCACAACCAAGACATCCACTCATTTTTCTTTTTCTTTCCCATTCCTTTCTTCTTCCCCTTTTCTTCTTCCTTCCTTCCTTCCTTCCTTCCTTCCTTCCTTCCTTCCTTCCTTCCTTCTTTCCTTCCTCCCTCTCTCTTCCTCTCTTTCCTAGGTATTGAACCCAGGGCCTGTGTACTTTTTTGGAAATTTTGAGCCACAGGTCTTACTAAGTGGCCCTGCCTAGCCTTGAACTTGCCGTGCTCCTGCCTGGCCTCCTGAGCCCCTGGGGTGCAGGCCTGTGCCACACACCCAGCAGGTGACCGTCCCCAAACAGCTGCGCATGTAGTGTGCACTCTGCACTAGGCCTCACGTCAGCCGGAGATGAGGTGAAGCCGTGGAGCGTCGTGTGGGTTCCGTGCAAAGACCTGAGGTCTGGGATCCGGCCCGGGGCATGTCCTGGGGCCAGGACTCATGGACACCGAGGACGATCGTGTTTCCTAAACACGGTAGAGCAGGCTTCATTGTGCAAGCTGGAGGTAAACACGGAGCAAGACACAAATACACAGAGACGAAGCAGTGGCAGCTGCCGGGGGGCCCCGGGGCAGCAGGTGCTGGCGGCAGAGTTTCAGCCGGGCGCGGGCAGTGGTGCTTGGCCCCCCGTGTGAGTGAGTGAACAGATCTCCCGGCGCTCCTGGAGACGGTGAGGGTGGTGGGAGACGGGTCGGGCGCACCTCCCCATGGCTTTTTAGAAAAACCAACAGGAGTGCTCGCTCGGGCAGCACACAAGCTAGAAAACTATACAGGAATAAAGCAATGCAGAATTCAAAGAAGACTCTGGGGAGGCTGAGGAGTAACAATCACAAAAGAGAGAAGAGGGCTCGAGCCCAGTTGGGCAGCGATTTGACCTAAGAAGCGGCGGAAGAAAAAGGAAAAGCGGGGGAGGGATCAACAATGATCCCCCCTGTTTCATCAGCTCCCCAAGACGGAGCTAGCGCTGAGGGGTGGCAAGCCACAGAAAGAGAGAAAAACGCAAAGCAGGAGCGAGACAGAAACGCCCCCCGCAGGGAGCTTCTGCTCCTTTCGGAGACGGAGGGCAGATAGATAAAGCAAGGCTTGCAGAATTCAAACTCCCTGGGGGCGGAGAGAAAGTATAAACACACCATGCAGATAAGTGTGACAGCAAAGGTGACAAAGAGCAGGCAAAATGGGGCATTAAATGGGGTGTTAAATGGGGCATGGTGCCGCACACCTGTGATCCTAGCTCTTAGGAGGCTGAGGCAGGAAGATCCATGCAAGTTCAAGGGCAGCCTGGGCTACATAGCAACACCCTGTCTCAAAAACAACAAAAACAAAGATGAGGCTTAGTGCCATGCAGACGTCCAGAGACAGGCATCTCACTGGCCAGACCTTCTGATTTTGAAGACTAGCCAGAATTGTTTCAGTGATCAGTTTGTCTTTGTTTTTGAGACCTGGTCTCCCAGCGTAGTTCAGGCTGGCCTCGAACTCACTATGCGGCCCAGGCTGGCCTCAGATTCACAGTGATCCTCCTGCCTCAGCCTCCTAGTGCTGGCCCCCATGCCGGGTTCCTCCTTCATCACTTTTAATCAGGGACCTGGAGGGTGCACGCAGCCTGCAGCCTGAGTGTTTTGTTCAAAGGCCCCCTTGAGAGACCTTCTCTGACCCACGCGGCTCAGTGTCCGCAGTGTCTGTGAAAAAGCTGGAGGCCCAGGAGGAGGCTCCGCGCAGCCCCGCCTTCCTGCACTACGTGCTCCTCTTCACTCTCCAGCAGCCGCGGAGAGTGAAGAAAATACACACACAGTGTCCGAGCGGATGGCGCAGCCCCCACCCTCCTGGTTCCGCCAGTCCGTGGAGGGGGACACTGTCAGGAGAGAGCTGTGTCCCCCACGGGGAGCTCTCCAGTGCCTCAGATGTGACCACAGGTGGAGAGGAGGTGCCCGAGGAGAGAATTAAGCTGAGGGGAAGACATCAGGAGCAGCCGCAGCCCAGCAGCCCTGGTGCCCTTGTCAGAGAAGCAGGTCTGGGCACAGGTAGGGGCGTGTGGACGCAGCCATCCGCAAGCCAGGCCCTGCCCACGTGGCACTGCAGGGGTTCCAGTCTCTGACAGCAAGGCCGGAAGTGGGGCAGTGAGGAGCCTGCTTTGGAACGGAGCGGGGGTGGGGTGGGGCTGCTGGGCCAGACGCCCTAGGCTAGCCCGTGGGGCCCTGGGGCCGCAGTGTCCTAGCAGGACTCAGAACCCCATGTGGTCAGTGTTAGGGTCGATCACTGCTGGAGACACAGCCAGACGCCCAGCTGGCAGGAGCTGCCTCCATGAGCACTGGTGTTACGGCTCGAATCCGGAATGCCCCCTAAAAGCCTCGCAGCTTGGGCAGAAGGTTGCGTATTGCATGATGGCTCTAATGTGAGAGACGCAAGATAGAAATACTCTAGGAGAGAAGGTAGGGGATGTGGGGGCGGGTGGAGATGGAGGGGAGCTGGAGAGCAGGCAGAGGGAGAGGCAGGCAGGAGCAGGCGTGAAAATGACCAAGATGCAGAGCTGGGCGTGGAGGCTCACACCTGTCATCCCAGCACTCGGGAGGCTGAGGCAGGAAGATCGCTGTGAGTTCCAGGCCAATCTAGGCTACATAGGGAAGTCAAGACCAACCTGAGCTACAGAGCGAGACGCTGCCTCAAAAACCCAAACCGGGACACAAACAAAAAATCTTCAACACCTGTGAATGCTCACAAGAAAGCACAGATCACCCGGACACGTCTGTCTGTGAGGACCTGCAGAGCCCAGCCTGCCCCGTCCTTGACGTGCAACATCATCGAAGTGATCGCACCTTCTGGTCCGCCCTCACTTGTGGCTGGTGGTACAGCTTACAGACCTTCTCATGCCCTAGCCTTTCATCCACACGTCCACGGCACCTCCAGGAATAACGCAGGCGTGAGCACCACCGTAACACCAGCACCCAGTTCCTACCAAGCTGCAGAGGCTGTGAAAATGGGAAGCATCTTGGCCTTGTTCACCATTCTCTTCCCAGTGGGCCTAGCGCAGCTCCACAGTGGTTCAGCTTGACTGCCTGTGTGACCGGCTCACGGGGCACCTCAGACATTCCTGAAGCACAGGTCCGGTCCCCGGCCCCTGTTTCCAGCTCCTCCCTGACCTCTGCTTCCCAGGTGCCATGAACTGAGCGGTGCTCCTCCACCGTGACTTTCTGCCATGACGTTTCCGCGTCGGAGTTCCCCGACCGCGGACTGAAACCTCTGAAACCGTCAGCTGAAATAAACCCTTCTCCTTCACGCTGGATATGCCAGGTGTTTTGTCCTGAGAATGCCAAGCTAATAACACGCGGGTAGCACTTACTAGCTATCAAATAAACACTTGTTGAACGGAGGGCTGCTGGACAGATAAATGGACGGTGGGAAAGTGGAGGGAAGGAGGGTAGAAGAGAAAGACAGCAGACAGGAAGGGGAGGGGAGAGAGGAAGGAAGATGCTGGACACTAAAGTATAAGTGACCCGTGGGCAGGACAGACACTTGGTAAGCGGGCACTTGGATGAGTGAGTTCACAGATACGAGGAGATTTAAGCTCATGATGAGAACAAGCTCACCCAACTCACACAGCTCTTAAGAAATTGAGTTAAGCTGGGGGTGGTGATGCGTGCCTTTAATCTCAGCACTCAGGAGGCTGAGGCAGGAGGATCACTGCGATTTGGGGGCCAACCTGGGCTACACAGTGAGTTCAAGGCCAGCCTGAACCGCACAGCAAGACCCTGTCTCAATGAAACCAAACAAAAGTTCAGTTAAAGGCATATTACAGCTATGCATGCACCCCTATGTTTGCAGCTGTACAACTTAGAGTAGCTAAATCTTACAAGTGGCCCATGTGTCCATCAACGGATGAATGGATAAAGAGAACGTGATATTTACACACAGTGGAGTCCTACCCCACCATAAAGCAGGATAAACTGGAGTCACTTGCAGGAAAATGGGTGCACCTTGAGACCACAACGTAGGTAAAGTGAATCAGACACGCGGGTTAAATATCACACGGTTTCTCTCTGATGTGAGAGGCCCAAAGTGTAAATAAATTAAAGAGCAAAATAAAAAGCCGATAACAGGCATCAGGGAGCGAGATCCTTTGCAAATCGGTAGGAGACCAAGAGGCGGAGGGAGAGTGAAGCGGGTAGAGGGGCAGGGGGCTTAGAAAGAAGGAAGATGCGGTCTGTGCAAGTATGACTCTGTGAGGAGTGCGCTCCTTGTGTACTGCGAACATGCACCAAGAAATAAAATAACAGCAAAGATTGCCAAGAAGCTCAGGTCCCCCAGCCCGGGGGTTTGTGATTCCCCGGAGCCCTCGGCTGTCTCCGCACTGCGTACCCTCCTGTCCACGGTTGGGCCGCACTGACCTTCTTTTAGGACCTCAACCCCACCAAGGTCCGTCTTGGCTGCCTGCCGGCTGCCGGCTCTCCCCAGGCCCTCTCCAGGGCCCCGTGTTATATATACCGAGCTCCTCACGGTGCGCACGCGAGGAGCGCTCCTCCTCCTTCTGGCACCCCTACCGTCTCGAATTACGGCGCTACCTGAGTTCTGTCTATAGTATTAGTCTGATGGGCGTCTCCATAAAGGCAGGCATCTACCTTGTAACGTGACATTTACACACACACGCTCATGCACATGTGTGCATATACATTCACATGTGTACATGGTGCAGACAGATGTACACCCATGCATGCAGTTGTCAGTAAATTAGATGAACTAATGAATAAACGAGTGAAAGGAATGTGAGTGACAGAATTTTCCCTCTCACGTGGGGAGGTCACCGCGGCCGTGTAAAAATAACAAGCACCTGGTTGTTGTTATTTTCCATTGCCGTGTGACCCAGAGCATGCAGACTGTTGCCCCGGCCTCTCTCTGCACTGGCCTCTACCTCTCCTGTTACTTGGGACAGCTGTGCTCACTTGTGCAAGGCCTGCCTTAACTGATGCTTTCTTTTTCACTCTGTTCCTCAAACCTGCCTAGTGTTTTACAGCTCTGCTCATTTTATTTCATTGCCTCCATCACCACCACCGTCACCATCACTCACCAGCATCACCACCCTTACTACCACTGCCATACCACCACCACCACCGCCACCACCACCATAACCACCACCATCACCATCACCATCACCATCACCATCACCACCATCACCATCACCATCACCACCACCACCACCATCACCATCACCACCACCACCACCATCACCA